ATTTGGTTTTGAAGTTGAAATGAAAATACAAATTGCAAAAAGTAACATCAACACATCAGGGATATTTAAAAAACAGACAAAATTTGTGTACACACAATAGTCTTTATAAAAAATATAAACTTTTCAAAAAAACCATTTTATTAACTGTGTATTTTTTCAGACAGTACGATAAAGCAATATTTTTGACTGTTTTTTCTGTTTATAATATATTTTTTTCATCTTTTGGTATTTACTATATTGTGACCAATCTCTTGAAGAGTGTTTATCAAAAGAAATTAAAATATAACAAGCAATTATTAAAAACAGTTTTTAGTGTTAAATATATATTGTTTTTATAACAATTTCCCTCCATTACATATAATCCACATATTTTTATATTGTTGTCTGACTTTTTGTCTAATAATGGACTGTTTAACCAATTGTTTGTTAATGACTGTTGACAAGTTGATGTATACAGTTACTTATTTTAATAATCTATTGAAAAGAGTGTTTAAAATGAATAAGGTAAACCATAACTATATTTTTAATTTTTCAAACAACAAAAAATCAAACTTCTTTGTTTATCAATGCTATTTTATTGATTTATTTGGTGTATATTTTTAATTTTTGTTGTGTTTTACATTATAAGTAATTTATCTTTTTATTGTCAATTAAAATTTTTAAATTTTTAAATTATTATTATTATTATTATTATTATTATTATTATTATTATTATTATTATTATTATTATTATTATTATTATTATTATTATTATTATTATTATTTGGGTTGCTTGATAATCAATTGCATTAACATCACTGTCTGTAAAAGCGATGTATAATGAATTCGTTTTATTATTATGATATTTTACAATTATTTCGACTCTATCATTTTCACTACAACACAGAAACGTGTTACTTATTGTTAATATCAACTACTGTTATCAATTTGCGTCATTCAGTGAACATAATTAATTATGTTTTTTCTTGTTACCACTATTATTATTTGTTTGTTTTATCATACACAAAATAGCAATTATCACGTTAGTTATGTGTGCTTTTTATCATCATTTTTAGATTTTATGAATATTTTTCTTGGAGTTGGCATATAATAGTCTATCTCGATAAGATTAACTATATTTTATTATGAACAACCATTTTTATTAGTCATTGTTTGTATTTTTATATTTTTGAAATTTATAAAACTTTCGAGCAGGACACAAATTCAATTTAGATATTAAAACATTTTTTTGAAATTAAATACAGAAATTGAATATTTAAAAACTATAAATTACTACCATAATCAATCTCAGTTGATTTTACACAATGACACTTTCACATAGAGATTGATTCAACTCATGGCTGGATTGAATGAGTGACATTTTTAAACATTCGCTGCGTTTTGTGGGTTTTTTAATATATTTAAAAGTCAAAATTTGTTGTTATAAATTAATTGTTTCAAAATGGTACATTTAAGTTTTTTATTGTTGAATTGTGTTGTACTTATTAAATAATAAATCAAATAATTAATTTGATAACTTTCAAATTTGCTTTCTTTTATATTTGCCAAACATTATTTTCAATTACAAAATCAAACATCAAGTGGTCGCAATTGACTGTTTATGGGGTAATAAAACCACAACAACAAAACTGTGTTATGTATCCGAAACGTCAATTTTATTAACATAAGTATCAAAAATTCAACCATTGTTTAATTTTACAAGTATTTTTAATTATTTTTTGTTTTAATTAATGTTTTTAAAATAATATAAAATGTTATTTATTTATAACAATAAATATTATATATTACTATAATTTGCTAAAGCCGACTTTTCCCACCAACTCTTTATTATTTTGGTTGTAATTTTTGTTCTGTTTTGCTTTCAAATTTTTATATAAAAAATAAATGCACAAAACCATTTTTTGGTATAAAAAATAAAAATAATTCCATTATGATAATTTTATATTATTTGTTTTTATCTATTTTTTCGGGAAAATCACCTAATAATATATCAAATTTATTTAAACAGTTTTGGGACAAATTTTTAAAAAACTGTTAAAAAGAGCAGTATTGGGTTGTCGGCGAGTTAAATAGTTTTTTATTATAGTAAAAAAGTGTCTATTTATGAATGATTGAACAGAGAAAAAAAATATTTATTTGTGAATTTATCATGGAATTGTAGAAAATTCGATTCATTATTTTTTATCTAAAATCAGAGTTTTCGTTTAAAGTAGTTTTTAAATCATAATTAAATTAGATTATTATTTAAGTGTACCCAAATTCAAGGTTCCAAGCAAAATATCTTTTTGTGAATTTTGCATTTGATTGTCCCAATGACCCACAAATAGACGTAACCCACAAATTTGAAACCCCACAAAAAGACGATTTTTACTGTATGATCTTAAAAACATTAAATGATGAAAGTTAAATTAGAAGCTTTTCGTTATCAAATCGTAATGAAATATTTCTTGTATGAACAAAATTATATCAACTCGATGTTAACATGTAAAAAAATGAAATGGTACTTGACCGATTTCGATACAACCCGATTCCCGTAAAATCCACCAAATTGTTTCCATATATGGAGACTCAATACTTATACACAAATTTTGATGATATTTTCGCAGGAATATCCCGACTTGTCGTCTTGTACAAAGTGACTTACTCTGAAACAAAAACTTTATTTCCAGACTTTGATGTAGAGTTTAAAAATGTGACTATATCTTCATCTGATATCAAAAAACAAAAGATCATGACATTCACTCAAATACCTAAAACCATAAAAATATACGAAAATAAAATTTTTAAACACTTTTGATTTTAAAGAGTTTGGTGTTCCAACACATATAACTGAATTGTACTGTTCTTGCTTCTACAATAATACCACACTCACTTCAGTGACACTGTGTGACGGGTTAAAAGTCATACCTTCGTGTTGTTTTGGTTCTTGCAAGAATTTGGTTTCTGTAAATGTTCCAACCACAATTATTTCAATTGAAAGTTCTGCTTTTGAAAAGTGTGGTATTATCAAATTCACAATCCCTGATACCGTCGTATCGCTTGATTTAAATCTGTTTAATTCATGCGCTAATTTAGAGAAACTTGTTATATCCAAGAACGTTAATGTCTTGCCATATTACATATGCGAAAATTGCACCAAATTAACACGCGTTGTACTCCCAAATTATTTAATTTCAATTAAAGCAGAAGCTTTTTGTGATTGCAGCCAACTTGTTGATATTACCATCCCAAATACTTTACTTCGAGTTGAGTTTGGCACTTTTTCGAACTGTGAAAAACTTCAGAACTTATATTTAATGAAGTGTGTGAAATTGAGAATGGGGTGTTTAGTGGTTGCACAAGTTTAACATGTTTGATTGTTACAAAAATCAATGGAATTATTAAAAACACAATTTCTTTAAATGAAGTTGATGTGTATGAACGGTTGAATGAAACATTTGAGTGTACTTTGGATGACGATTTTGGCTCAGAAGGAGAGTTAAAAAGTGACCGAAAGTATACAACACTCGATATGTCATACGACTGCAATTTTGAATGTACAGACTCGGTGTTTTTTATACCCGAAAATTTCACAAAAATTGAAAATATGCCATTTTATAAAAATCGAGATATCTACGTGATATATATGTCTCAGAGCGTTTTCGATATCAAACGTGTTTTACTTAACAAATTTGATAATTTGGAAGAAATTTATATGTCTTCTCACATCAAAAAATTTAATAAGTCAATATTTGAAAATTGTGTCAATTTAAAACATATATTTAACATGCAAAACGTGACTAAAATACGCCAATTTTGCTTCAAAAATTGTTCATCTTTAAAAAGTCTTCACATCAACAAACGTGCAAAAATTTCGTTCGGCTGTTTTGAAGGATGTGTTGGACTAACTTCTCTTGAAATACCAAACAACAACAAAAAAGTCACATTTCAAGTAACAAATGAAGACGAAAAAGTCTTAACACCATTTGGTTATACTTTTGGTGATCATGTCTGCTATTTCAATTCAAAAGACACATTTTTAAAATTTGATGAAATTAAAGATAAAAATTATTTCTATGAATTACAAGGAAATTTTTCAAGTGAAGAACTTGACACAATTGTAATTCCAAATAATGTCACAAAAATATCAACTGGCTTTTTTGGTATGGACGCATTAAAAAGTATTGATTTGGGATGCGTGAAAGAACTTGAAGATGAGTGTTTTGAGTGTAGTGTAAATTTTTTAACTATTCCAACAACTTTGACAAAAATTGGGACAAAATTATTCCAAAGTAAAATAAAACCAACTTCAATTGATTTTTGTGGAAATAAATATTACACGGGAATTGTCACAAAACAAGAACAAAATTTCATTGAAAAATGTGGAGTTCAATGCACCAATTTAGAATTTGAGTTAAACAATTTTGAATATTACAAATACATTCCAATGGGTTACAAAGTGATTGGGTCAGACCGATATCAATTACCATTATATCTTACACAAATAATTATACCATATGGGGTCTCACAAATCAATTCACATTGTTTTTCTAATCTTCCAAATTTAAAGAAAGTCGAGTTTCCAGAGACACTTCGCAATATCAATTATGGCGCTTTTGCCTTTTGTTATTCTCTTGAAAACGTCACATTTTCACAAGCACTTCAATCAATCAGAAATTTTGTGTTTTATTATTGCATCAATTTTACACAAATTGTACTTCCAATAAGTTTAGTTGACATTGGCAGTTCCGCATTTTCAAATTGTGAACATGTAAAAAGCATTGATGTTCCAGTTTCCGTTTATTCAGTAAGTGGTGTGTTTGATTCATGTTATTCACTCACTTCAATTAACATCAAAAACACACGTGAAAATACTTCTACTTGTTCAACTTATAACGGACCTTTTACGTGTTGCAATTTCGAAGAAATTACAATTCCTAAGAGTGTCACCGAATAAAAAAAACGAGTTTTGAGGATATGACATATTCGACAAGGGCAAAATGTTAAAAGAAATTTACGTCAAAGAGAAAAAAGCAACCAAAATTAGTTTACCCGTCACATACAAAATAGCTCAAAATTTAATAAAAAACGGTGTTTGTTGTGATACTATTTTCTATACTCAAAAAGACGTCAAAAATATTTAGAAATCGTTTTTGAAAACGGCAAAAAAGTTGGAGAAATTACCAACAATGTTGTTGGACTTTGTGATAATTGTTTTAGAAAATATAAAGAGGTGCAAACAATTTTCGTTCCCAAAAGCGTGAGAAGTGTTGGGAGATTTTGTTTTCATAATTCGGTCGGAGAAGAGAACGTATTTTTTGAATATAAAAACACCGTCATAATAACTGAAGACAAATTTTTGTTTTGAAAGATAAAAGAAATTTTTTTCGTTTATGTTGTTGTTTTTATAAAATAATTGTTAAATGTTAATTTTAAACATTTTTTATTACAAAACACACACCATTTTGTTGAAATTAACCGGAAAACAAGGACATGGCTTATAAAAACAAACCAAATTTTGAAATCTTGGCAATTCGCAACATAGTTTTACCAATCATGAAACAATTTTCTTTTTGTTTAATTCAAATATTTTACCAATGAAATGATCTCTTTTTATGTTGTTCTATTTTTTTTCTTGTGTTATTTCTTTTTTTTTTGTTTAAATTGTCCCGACTCTTTGGTGTTTTTATAGTGATTTTTATTTTTTTTGTCAAACAATAATTTAGTTTTAAACATTTGAAAATTAAATGGGGTACAAAATTATAGTTTTACAATATAGTTTATTAATTATTAAATACATTATTTTCATAGTAAATTTAACTATTTAAATAACACATTTATAATCAACAAAAAATCATACCAGAAATTATAACAAAGTTACTATACAATTAGCCGATTTACTATTTGGTTTATGTTCTATTATCTGTAAGAAAATAATTATTTGTTTTGGTAATATTTGCGAGAATTGATTATTCTTATCGCGACAAACTTGAACAAATTCAGAACAACGCTCTTTGCTCAGATTACACAGTCGATGAATACCGATAACTTTCTAAGTACATACGTACTTTAAAAGCACTCGGACCGATTTGGTTATATATTAATAATATAATATGGTTATTTTGTGGCTACTTTTTCTTTTTTTTGTTCATATTAATATAATTATTTATTGGTTGTTTTTATTATTTAACTTTTACTATTCGAATTGTATTATTAACCATATTATAAACCATTAAATTAACACTGGCACCCATTATTTTTCTTTTTTTTGTGTTTTATTGATCTGAAATAAATATTATCAGTCAATTGGGTCCTTGAGCGAAAGAAGTGTTTTTTTCTTTTAAAAGAAAAAATTACCGGAATTTTGGATCGTCATGTGCTCTATTTAAGTGATTGTTTTGTTTATTTTTAGAAAGGGGGTAATGAAATGGTTCGTAAAAACGAACCATGTCCTTGTTGCCGGCACAGAGGTGTCCGTGTCGGCCGGTTAACAGAATAATTAGTTGATTTTAGTTATAAAAATATCATCATTAATACAACAAAAAAAGTAAATAAAAGTGGCAAATCATAATTTAAATATATAAATATAAATTATTATATCGAACTAATGCAAAATTGAATAATTTAAAACAATGAACATTATTACTATTTTATTGTTAATTATTTTTAATGAATATATTTTTAGATTTTAGTAATAAAAAGTTACAGATAGGCAACCGGACCTTAGTCCGGTAACTCGACATTAGTTTTTTATTTTTATTTTTGGAACATGTTTACTAAATTTTTAAGGTGTAATTTCGGGTTTTTACACACACAAAAAGAAAAAAGTGATTTTTTAATACTGATTCTTATTCCCCTTTTTTGCCGAATGTGAAAAAAACGGGAAATAATCCCATATTCAATAAAACAAAAAGAGTTTGATCTAAAAACTAAAAAACCAAAAAAATGGATTATCTTAAAATGCCGAGACAGTACTCCTCAAGCTGTTTTACACTCTCCGATGTTACTTGTTTGACTCTAGTCAACGTTGTGATTGATTGTGGCGCAGAAAGTTTAACCATTTCTTCTGGAGAGGGGTTGGCAGTTGTTAAACGCATAAACACACTTGCTGATTTGATGTCTACAAATACTTTGTTGTTTTTATTGTGGTTAACAACCACAAAGCCTGCGCGATGGAATGAAGATTCTATATTTTTTCTTGTTGCCTTTTCCTCGATGACTTTCATTACTTTAGTCAAATGCTCCTAAATTACACTTCCTCTTGCTGCTCTCTCATCAGAAGTTGCGCGTTTACTCAAGGGATTATTAAGTTGTTTTATCCATGACGCAACTAAGTTGTCTAGAGAAACTCCATTATTAATCAACACGTCTGCTGTTGTAGAAAAAGTGAAATTACTTCGAGTTGGTTGTGAAATTGTTTGAATGGTACAGTTGAACTTCTGAACAACGGTGTTGCAGGTGTGCTTAATTTTTTGATCGCGCCGAAAAGACACAAATCGAGTGGCTGGACAATATGACTTGAATGAGGCTCGAAGAAATGAAAAAAATGAAGTTGTTGTAAAATATTTCTTTGAGCTCGTCACCAACGTGTGCGCTGAAGTTGTCCATAAGGATGACAACAACTAGAGTTGGTGGGTAGTTCAATGTTCTTCTTTTGTTAACAATAAAAGGAAGAACAACTTCATACATCCAAGTTTTAAAAATTGGCTGATTGACAAACCCCGTCTTTGAGTTGTACAAAGACAAATTTGGGTATTTAGCTAACACAGATTCATCAACAAAGATGTTTGGAATAACGGCTGCTGGGACCGAAAATTGTCCATCTGCTGAAATACATGCAATGATAGTACTTCTTTTTGATGCTCTTGGTATACCAACCTTGACACCCTTTCCAGATTTGCTGAAGACGGAAACACTCTGTTTATCTGCCCACTTATTAAATCCCACTTCATCAATGTTGAACAATAGAGCGGATTCAATTCCATTAAAATTGTCTACAAATGTCAATTAATTATTCAATACATTTTTATAATTAGTTTGAATTCTTTCCATTTCTTCCGGTTTGGCTTGAACTACATCATAACCATGAAACTTTTTAACGTGTTTGATTATTCCCTTTCTTGTCATTTCAAACTTGTAATCAAAAGACTGACAAATGGAATCAATCAATGTTGGAGTTACACTTAAACAACGTGAATCACAATAATCAAACAAAGAAGCAATTGCAGTATCCATTGTTTCGTTGATTTTACAAGAATGAATGGGTTCTGATACTTGTTGTTTTAAATGTGTCGATATTGCTCCTTTGGTAATACCAAATAATAGACCAAGTGTTTTATTGCTCACTCTATAACGAATCTTTAAATTCTGTATTTTTTCCACTGCGCTCATTTTTCTTTCAAATTCTTCATCTGTAGCAAACACAGAAATAGTCTGAAGTGCTTAAATGTAAAAGTCATCTATCACTTCCCCTTTTTTATAGGACTGCACCACATTCAGTTTCATTTGCTGTTTTGATATTGCTGCTTTTCTTTTGGGTTTGTTGATTGGTGATTTGAAAGGTTTCACAACTTGGCTTGCCTCGACGATGTTTTTGATTTCTTCGAGAAAATTTCTTTGTTTTTCAAATTGCATTTTGTCTCTAAATTTTTAATTAAAAAAATATTTAAATCATTATTTTTTAAAAATAGAAAAGTTTGAAATTTTATCAATTTTGTTGTTAAATGTGATAGAAAAAATAACTACAAAATAATAGTTTTAAGGTGCTAATGTTCAGTTGCCGGATAATGTTGAATCGACAATCTGTAATCGCCAACATTTAAAAAATATATAGTGTCAAGTAAACTCAAAAATTGTGATTAATCAAAAAATATTCGTTTTTATCTATTTCAGTTTTTTAACTTTTTAACCAAATTTAATGACAATAAAAATAAATCAATGTATTCAATTATCCTTGTTTTGTTTACCATGAAAAAGACGTCTTCCTGAATTTTGATAGTTTTTTCATGTTTTTTTATTCGCTCCAACTTTATACAATTATAAAAACATACGATCTGATTTCCTTCACGTTGTCTCCCATCCAAATTTCTTTTAAATCCAATGACCGAAATACAAATTTGGCCTTCACATTGATTTTTTCTGGTACTTTAAAAACGCCATTTCCATCAATCCAGTTAGGATCAATGGAATAAAGTTCAACATCTCCTTCAAATTTATATTTATTTTTTAATATATTGTAAATAGTAAAATCGATATTTCCTTCAAAAACAAAATTTACTAGTGTCTACTCTAATAAGTGTTTATACAGTTCGGGATAGATAAAATATGTTATTGTGGTAGTGTCCGAAGGTAAAAACACAAGTTGTGCAAACATATTTTTTGTAGATACTGTTCGTCTGATCACATTTCTTTGTGTTGACAAAATTGAAGTGATTTAAGTGCACAAATAGCATCTTTGTGAAATGTTCAAGTGATGGCTCCGACAGCAAAGACGTGTCTTTTGCAGTGGAATTGTCGAAAACCCCAAGTATTTTAATGGTTGTCTGTCTGTTTTACATTGTGTTATTTTGATTTGGTGTTAAACGAAAGAACAAGACAATTTATTTAGTAGCTACATTGATAGCCGTGTTGATCGACTCGTCAAGAAGACCCTGTGGGAACTCCTTGATGAATTTCTTTTCGATGAGAAGGTCGGCACCTTCGCGTGCCTCCTTGATGTCCTTCTCTGCCATATCGTAGACCTGTTGCAACGTCAAAGTTGTGTATCTAGCGACTCCGTCTTTGATAGCTTGCATAGCGACCTCTGCTTCTTTTCGTGGAAATGCCCGGCTCGTCCATCGTCCCGATGATATTGTCTGGTATGATTCCCCTCTTCTCTGCAAAGTCAGCAAGTGCCTTTGAAGCTGTGATAGTCATGTTGTCTGTGATTTTCTTTGCTTTAACAATGAGTGTGCCCTTCAAAATGCCCGGTAACCCAACAGAGTTGTTGAATTGATTTGGGAAGTCGCCTCTTCCTGTTGCAAAGATGTACGCGCCCGCCTCCTTTGCCTCGTATGGGTAGATCTCAAGCACTGGATTTCCACAGTATAAGACAATAGGCTTTGTTACAATCGACCTGACCCAATCACACTTCACAACTTACAACAAACTATGTGGTTGTAAAATAAAAACATAGAAGTTTTTATTTCAGACCAAGACAAAATCAAAATGTCTTGATTCTGTCCGGGTTTGTGTTCTTGCATATTTCCATCTACCCATTGCCGTTGAACCGCGAATCCTTTTCGATATCCTCACGCCCACTATGAAGAGACCCATTGATATCAAATATCACGATTTTCTTAGGGTCAGCACATGTACTCACTATCAGTCGCAGGCACGTCGCATTTGCACTCCCAGCACCTATGAAGACCATCTTGATGTCTTCCAGTCTTTTGTGAACCAACCTGAGTGCGTTGAGCAACCCAGCCAACGTCACTGGTGCTATGCATTGTTGGTCGTCGTAACAAACGGGGATGTCACAAGTCTCTCGCAACACGTCAAGCACTCTGTAGCAGTTTGGTTGTGATATGTGTTTAAAGTTGATTGCGCCAAAGGTGTGTTGTATCCGTTGCACAAACTCTATCATCAATCAGCAACCTTCGAGTCAATGCAGATTGGAACGGCGTCGATACCACCCAAGTACTTCATTAGCAACGCCTTTCCTTCCATCACACCAAGCCCACCAGCCGGGGTCACATCGCCATCACCAAGCACTCGTGTCGAGTCTGAGACGACACCAACAAAGTTGCCACGCATAGTGTACAACAGCGATGAGTCATTGTCATCATGGATGTTTGTTGAAATGCTGGGAGTGTAGAACACGTTAAATCAGTTGAACCCACACTGTGTGCACTTCGGCATGATCTGGATCTTACCTCGATAGAATTTGTGCGCGTTTTCTGCAAGTGTCTTGTAGAACTCAGTCTGTGAATTGAGTCACCCAGCTAACAATTGTAGAGAAGCACATCATAAGTGATACGCCCTTTTAAGTGTCGAGTTTTACAAAATATTGTACTTTTATCGTGACACTCCAAGTTTCACTGTGAAATGTCTTTTAAATACGTGTTGTATCTGTTGCAAAAAATCAAACATCGCACTAGACTAGTTGTTTTTAGCAGTGTTTGAGACACTCAAAATTGAAACCGCGTAGATACAGCCCACAAACACGATCTTCAACTCTTATAGACAATTTCCAACATACTTATTTATAAATAACAAACGATTAATTATTAATAAATTATTAAGTTCAAATAAATCAAAAAAGTTGTTTTTAATTCAAAGAACAGTTTCTCGAATTATGACCACTTTGACCACATTTTTTTACAGTGGTACAATCTTTTAACCAAAGAGGTCGGTTCCACTTTCTTCAAAATGGACTAAAAACTGGTGTTTTCGGTGAAACCACTCTTCCTGGACGCGTCACAATTTCTACCATTATTCCGGGTCTTGGTCCTTTTTGAAATTGTCGCGATGGTTCAGTTAAATTGTCAACAAATTTTTGGGTGCTAACTAGCGACTTTCTTTTTACGATAGTGTTACTACTTTCTTCGTTTTCTGTTATAAAAATCGACTTTCTACCACTTGCAAATTTAGTTACCATTAAACTGTGTCGGAGTCTTTTCCCTGTTTCTTCAACAACAAATTCTTCAATGTGTTCTGTTGTTTCATTTTTCCTTTCAAAACATTGTTGACGAATTCATAATATCTCACTAATAAAGTGTTGTCATCTTTTAAACCGTTTTCTATTGCTTCAAGAACAAAGTGTAGATCATGTCGACTTTTTGATGGCTTGACTGTCTCATCCACTGAGATAGTTTCAGTTGAATGGACACATTTTGTCATCTCAAGAGTTTTCATTGAGAGGGTGGCTGGAGTAGAAACATTACTTATAGAGTACAGTGTACCAGTGAA